AAAATGAACTACATAAACTTCATTCTACCATAGTTCCCCTCTATTTACTATAATTCAACATAGAAAACAAATCCGAATTTAAGATAAATTTCCTATGGAAATGGTTTTACCAAAACTGACTTACCCGCTTTTGACGTTGAACGATAAATTTAAATTTTTTTGAAAATGCCGCGCAACGGTTTACCAGATGTCACGCGATGTCACGCAATGTAAATGACAAAAATTTATGTACTCAGACTCCTTGACTCACATGTAGCCCAAGCTTATTTCTTACTGGTGGAGGAAAAATCTTAGAACGGGCTAAATTCAAAATTAACCACACAGAGCGAAAGAAATGCTATTTCTCAATGATCGGGTAAAATTTCGAGGCTTCATTTCACGTTTCAATGATTTTATTGAAACTTTTGAAGAATCCCCATACATTTCCTTATAACATGACACCACAGAAACCAAGTTTGGGCTACCTGTGCTTGACTCAGACCCTACTCATTTCACTATCTCTGTTTTATGTACAGTCTTGGTGTCCAAGACAATGGCGGCCAACAAATCAATGGCTGAAAATCATGTTTATGTTGGAAAGACAATTGTAATAATTATCTAAATAATGTTACTTATCATCTACTAAGTTAAACGTTTTTTACTCGGAATATGACGGAAACTGAATGACGTTTTTGTATGACTTTCTTGCATTGTTATAAACTTTTCCTACCTTTTTGGCTGTCATAATACCCTCAACAAAATTACTCGATTCTGATTGGACAAGAGGAGTACAATTAAATCCCAAATTGTACTCTGTAGAGTCCCAATTAAATTCATCAATTTCGTTTAGTATATTATAGCCAAAAAATCGCAAAAAGTTCTCGTACAATTTGGAATTTATAGATACTCGTGATGTTTTGAAAGTTTTCAAATTGTACTCGCCTAAAGGATCGTCCAATTTCGAAAACTTTCAAAACATCACTTGTACCTATAAATTCCAAATTGTACTCGAGATCGTGCGATTTCCTATATTTATTTCGTATCTGATCTGATCAACACTGATGCCGGTGAGCCATGAGCGTAGACGCGCGTTAATAAATTTAGTAACTTATCCCAGCCAGTATATTTCACCTACCTTAGCCCTGATCTTTAAAATGTTAATAAGGGTTGCAGTGTTTTTAGTAGAACCTATAAAAATATAAATTTAATATAAAACATCCAAAAAGACACGGTAAATTATTAATAAAAAGAACTTACGATAGATGTGTGTGTTGAGCTCGAGTGCAAGCAAAAAATAGGTAAAGAACTATTATCGATCTTATATATCCTTCTCCTTTGATCTCAGTAATACGTTAATATTTGTTCGCCAGATAGTAAAAATTCATGGAGAAGCTCAATTTCGAAGACAACACAATGTCGGGATTCTTTTTTCTCTTTTAGTCTTATATTAAGAAAATTGCTTAGTCAGTATGAGGCTGCAATGCCGCGGTGAAGATGAAGTTCAAATAGTTGGTGTTAAAAAGCTATTTGAAATATTGAAATGTTCTAGCTAGCTCGGCATTTTTATAGTATTTCTAATCTAGTTGGCATTTTATTAGTCATCGCGGCACGTACACGTGAAAAATGGATCAAGCTTGGTAAGCTTTTTCCTGCTTTTTCCTGTCATAAAGCACGCGGGGGTTGGCAGAACAAGAGAGAAGTGTTAGGAGAAGCACGACGCGTAGCGGAGTGCTTCTGGACACTTCTCGAGTGTTCTGCCAATAGTTCCCAAGTGCTTTATGATTGCACACCGCACAGCAAGCAAGTTTTTTGTTTCTTTTATAAAATACAAATTACAATAATAGATAGGAATGACGCAACGTGCTCTCATAAAGCACGCGCTTCAAACCAATCAGAACGCGACATTAATAACATTAATATTCTTTGCTTGCAATCACGTGACAATTTGACTGAAATGTGGGTAAAGTGAACGATCAAGTTGTCCCAAAAAACGCTCTTTCAGAGTACGCCAAGGGAGCACATTAAAATTTTGTTTGTGTAAGGAAAGGTATTGTTCTTGGTTGATCTTGATTACGTGCGATAAAATCGAAGATAAACCAACACAATCAAAATTTTAACGTGCTCCCTTGAGTACGCTAGTAATCTTGACTGCATATCCAAGTCAAGATATATCAACAAAATATCTATCTGTGATGGAATTGATCCATATTCTATGAAAACAAAGGACTTTTCTAAGGATTTCGCCGCCTTTCCCGACCTTCAGTTCCCAGACATTTCCAACTATCTTGTAGTCCAAACATCGTTTTATACCAAATCTCAGATGAAAGCCTTCAAAAGCCTTGAAGCTTATAACTTCTTCGTGTGTGGATGGGTTAGTGATGTTGGTGTTAAGATCCTCAAAGACAATAATCACCTTATTTTTGCAAGGGTACGTATCCAAGAATATAAGCTGAGACAGTCGTTTTTACATCTGTGTGTGTGGCGTAAGTAATGTCTTCCATGTGTAAATAAACAAATTGTTAAACCTCTAGCTACAGCAAAATGCTCTTTTTGGAACTGCTTCGGTCTACGGCCTCGTGGTTTCATCAGTTACTCAATGTTTGGAATCCCCGATGAAACACTCGTCTAAAACAATTTCTTATACATAATATTTAGAAATAATTATGTTGAGGATATTTTTTGTTCTTTGTCTTTTCATAGAACTAAGAAGTAAAATGGATGAAAACTTATTTCAAATAGTAGAAGCCGGCAAACATTTTGACACTACTTTAATGTGAGGTCGGTTGTGATTGGCTGCTGCAAGCACCAAAGTCGGGGGAATCCCCTAATTCGAATTCTCCATGATGTAATGCCAAAATTAGAATTAGAATTCAAAAATTCATTTTTTTATTTTTACTTTAAACCATCTTAAAAATCATCAAAATCAATATATTTTCGAAATGAATTTTTAGTGATATTTCTAGTGATATGAAACGACAGCATTTATCCTACAAAATGGAAAATTATAATCCATTTCATCATCAATAATTCATCAGTTAGATCCTAACCAAAACAAAAACATAACAAGGATCGTATGTAAAAGTCTTATCGTTTCTTCTGGCTTTTTTCTCGTTATTCCAGGAATTTCGATCCAATGAAAGAACCACGTATACTTCAAGCCAATTCGTAAAAAAGGGAAATATTGTTAAACAATATTTGGAAAATTGGGAAACTTCATTTTGAATAAAAAACCCTATAAAATTTGTGTTTTAGATTCAAATTATGATTCTCATTTTAGAAAGATCTCATGGACCTCGAATTACAGAGAAGATGTCGCTTTGTCAAACAGATGGTGCATTTTTAAATATATCACACTTGATTGCGAGGCTGCAACGGTATAGGATTATTAAATCTCACGTAGTAGCTAGGAGCCGTGTAAGTTAGTAGTTAAATACCAGTAGTTAAGCCAAGTGTTCTATGCCAACTTCAAGCATAAGTACAGAAATATTCACTGGCAAATGCTGCGATAGAAATCTTAAGTCTAACTTTGAATTCTTCTTGATATATATACTGACTTATAAGACTAAAACCAGAATAACTAGCTCCATGAATTCAAGATTATCCGTTCAGGTCAGTAGCTGTTATTTGGAGTAGCTATGTAGCTGAAATCAAACAAGATTATCAGGTATGGCCAACTTCTATAGTTAACATGTTTTATTGGGTCAGAGCATAGAGGACGAACCAGTAATGCTCGTTCTACTGAAGACTAATGACGTTTATTCTGAACCAGTTTTGTAATTTCGGCCAAAAAATTCATCTCAGCCGAAATAATAGGAGCCATAATTGACTATCCAAATTATTGCAAGTGCTGGCGATTCATGCTAAGACCATGTCAAGGTTAAAAAAATTTCTCCTTGAGCTGTAAGTGAACCGTGTGTTTTTTAGCCGCCTATGAAAATATTGCATCAATCGACATTTTTGGTAGGTGAGTGTGGAAAAAAAACGCTTATAAAAGCAAAATTAACGTCCTTTATTTATCAATACCAAAAATTCGCAGACTGTATGTCATAGAGGGATTTTTTATTCATCTATTTTGCTGTGTGATTCATTCTTTGCACTATTTGCCTTCCTTCACATTCAAAGACTCGCAAGATTGTCTAAGACACGTCATAGGACCGCATAGGATTGTGGCTAAAAAATATTAAAAAGACATATAAAAGGCCTACCTTGCATCTTTTGCCCCTTATTTCATTCGTTCTACACTCCAGTATTTCTTTCAACGCATTAAAACGTCGCCAAAAACTTTAATTGGTTGCGAAAGTAAAATATTTTCTCGATTTTATAGATATGATATATTTTTATTTTCTAGAATATGCTAAAGTGCGATACTCATTTTTATTACGTGGTTTCTACGCAAATACGTTCATTTGTTAACCGAAATCAGTTTGTTGTTTGAACAGGAAAGTCCTTTTTTATAAAATCCTACGCGAATGGTTACTGACTAAGCTTGATAGCTCCCTGCACACACTGATCACTAACCACGTTTTCTAAAAGGAAGAAAAAGCTTAGAAACTCAGTTTATGCCAAACCTTAGGCTTCTTCCCACGAAAGAGTCAATAAAGCGATATTTCCCAATACATAGATATTAAAAGTCGTTTGAAAGTAGTAGTTATGTAAAGAAAGTTTATATTCTGCCTGCCTACTCTTAAAAGCTTCTTACATTTTCGCCAAATTCCGATTTTAAAGGCATAAACAGTCCACTGCAAATTATATAGTTGTATTGATAAAATAAGTGAGGAATAAATGCTTGTGATGATGATGATGATGATGATGATGATAATAATAATAATGGTAGAGGTGGCAGTGGTAGTGGTAGTGTCATTGGTAGTGGCAGTGGCATTGGTAGTTGTAGCGGTAGTGGTGAAGTAGTAGTGGTATAGTGGTAGTGGTAGTGGTAGTGGTGTAGTAGTAGTAGTGGTATGGTGGAAGCTGTAGTAGAAAATGTAGTGGTAGTGGTATAGTGGTGTAGTGGTAGTGGTATAGTGGTGTAGTGGTAGTGCTAGTGCTAGTGGTAGTGGTAGTACTCTGAGCGGTAGCAATTGTTTGTTCAATAGTTTTTTTTCCACCTAAGTGTGGCTTCACTTATAAAAAATAGTTATAATACTTACTATTGATTCTCAGTTCTGAAAAACTTAGGTCCTTCGATTCTTTTTGATTCTCAGTTTGTCTAGAACAAAAATACGCAACATTTATATGAAACTGGTAAATTGGTTAAGAGGAAGTGATATTTTAAAATTAGTTATCGCGGGGGATCGAATTATTAGGACTTCCTGTGTAATAAAAGGGCCCCCAAAATAATTTTCTCCTTGTCTTTCCTTGATAATTTCACTGTTGAAATGCAGTAAAAAAGAACCCAACTTAAAACTAAACAAAATTGGTAATTTTAGCCTACCATATTTACATGAAAGCAGCATTTATTTATTTATGAGGGCTCTTTTATTCAGGTTTATCGCAAGAGATTTCGAGAATTTAATGAAAGGCAGGGCAGATAAGAAGGCTAAAGAAAAAGCCATGGCATGCAATAGTAAGCGTCATGCACTAGCCTTGTAGTAAAAGACCAAATTTGGTACAATCGTCCTGCCCAAGTGCACTTCGATCGTCACACATCTTATCGTACAGTGTTCTAGTAAAATAATGACGCTCACTATTTGCGTCTGCGTTTTTAAACTGTTCAGCCTACGGGGGAATCCCCTGATTGGCAACGATGACGTAATTGCAATATACATACAGTCAACTCTCGCCTTGTGGCAACCCCGATATTACGGACACCTTGCTATTTCGGACAGGAGAAAAATCCCCGACAAAAATACTGACAAAGAAATGACCGTAAATAATTTTCGCTATTGCGGACGCTCGCTATTACGAACATGAAGTGACGGTCCCGAAGGTGTCCGCTGTAACGAGAGTTGACTGTATCATAGTTTTGAAAAGAAATTCGACAGAACAAGGTCAGCATTGTATTCAATCAATTTACAAGACTGACTAAATATATCAGTTTTTTATAAAGATATTTCGTTCAAAGTTGTTAATCAAACTTACATCAAAATTTTCGATTTAATTTTATTGTCATTGAGCGTTTTCAGCATATGTCACAAAGTGATCTTATTTACCTTACGTACAACTGATATATCTATCGTGAAATCGCTTACTCGTTCTAAAAATGTAATAATAGTCCTTATAAAATAGAAGAATCATAAACTTTAGAAAGCCAGAATGAATGATTAAGACAATAGCACGAAAAAGAGATGACTGTAGAAATGCATGAAATCTTGATACGTGCCACTAAAAAGCATACTTCTGGTGCTGAATCATTGTTGATTATGAACTTTACGTCGGTCAGGGTGACAATTCTTAGTAAATGCGTCATCTCAATTTTTCTCCTTCTTCATTGGCTTATGAAATCAATCCCACTAAGCTGTTATTTTCCCATCACGTTCGCAGTAGTTGACTTCACTAAATTTAGAGGACCACAAGTTTGTT